GCATGAGAGAGTTGTGACTGAGAGCAGAGGAATGGGTCCAACCGGACTCCCAGGCCTTTCTCCACAATTCTCTGTGCGTTATCGAACTGATCGGTAAATACGGGCAAAACGATCATTGGTTTCCCGAAATATAGCGATTCTGTGACCGTATTATTGCCGCCGTGTGTCAGCACTAAGTCGACCACTTGGAGCACCTGGAGCTGAGGCAACGACTTCGCGCCCCACATATTATCGGCCAATTCGTATTCGTCAGCCAACGGTCCCTTCGATACTATAAACTTGTGTTTGGATTCCGACAGCAATGACACCAAACGCTTCATAAGACTTACTTCACAACAACATAACGTTCCCATCGAGAGGTATATTAATTTTCCCGGTTTTTGTTGCAATTCTTCGGGAATTTCAAATGAATTGCTTTGCTTTTCAATGTCCGACCGAATCATGGAATCAATATTCAGCCAAATGCTCGGGTCTTTTGGTGCGATATCGTTGTAATCGAGTTCTTGTGGACACAGATATAAGTTGAGGAATGGCGAGGGGTTACTGAATTTGCCGGAGTGTTGTAGTGGAGGGGCGCCCACCGACTGAATCCACTCGTTATAAGGACTCCATTCAGATTCATAAGCGTCTATCGACTCTTTGCGGAACTCTTCCCATAACTTCTTATCACCATTTGTTGGATACCCTGAACACAAGTGATGAATATTATTTATTTGCAAAAATATCAAGTAATGACTGCTTGACTGACCTGATCCACCCGGAGGTAACCGATCGTCTGTCCAATAAAATAGTGGATTACATGAGATTAAGTCAATCCACGGCACGCCAGCCGAGACGACAGCCGGGATGCATACAAATGTGTCGGTGACTAAAGCATCCGGTTTGATTAGATCAATGATTTGTTTAATGTTGTCATTGAATCCCTTGACATCATTGGTGAATGTGGGCCAACCCGGGGCCTCAAACGCCCGGATCTTTTCAAACGGCGACAGTTTCAGAGTATATCCGAGTTCTCGCATGAATTTCACCCAAACTTCAATGCCATTGACGCCTACTTTATGGTCTTCCACATAGACTTGAATATCAAATCCGAGACTAATGATGAGGTCTCTCCACGTCTGGTTCACAATGAATACACAATTATGACCGAAGTTTTTCAGAGTCTGTGCCAAACCAATACAGGCGTTCATATGTCCAAATGCGTCCAACGGCACAAAGCCTATTGTATATGTCTTGGTCATTTTACGTACGACGACGTTTCAATTATGTCTACACAGATATTTAAGTATAATTTGAAAAAATTTCGTAAATAAGCTGTTTATATACTAATAAAAGTCATTCAATTAATTTATGAAATTCAGCCTTCAATTCAATTGATTAAGTGATAAAATATGATTTTAAGACTCATAACAAGACTATTTACGATGAAATTAGCAAAAAATAAAATATTTATTTATATATTATTACATTATATAACATGTTATGAAATGCACTGAAAGTGATTGAAAGGTTTGGAAAAGCACCAATTTGTGGCATATGATTAGCACACAGTATATTGTTGTAATTAGCAAAATATACACACTGATCCACAATTCAATGATTAATTTAGCATTTAAAGCTTAAATTTAAACCAATATGAGTAACTGCTTTTATAATAAATACATGTATAATTTATTATTTATTATTAAAAATATCTTAATTAATGTATGCAAACAAGATATCAAATGAAATGATTAATCATTTTCAAAACATATCT